ACAAAAAAAAAGAAAGAAAGAAAAGTAAAGCAAAAGCAAGAACAAAAATCAGAAACAGAGTGACATGCAACAATACATATGTTACATATTTTCAAAAGAATAGCTGATTAACAATGTTGATATATGATCTTTTTTATCATCAAATCTGTTGTTCAGATTAATATGTATAGTTATGTAAGATTGGACTGAATATTACTGAATATTACTGCTTGCTTTCAAGAAATCTTAAATGTTTGTTCTTGTCTCTCTTTTTTCAGGGAAGGTTCTAAAGGGCATTCAAGGTCTCACTACTAGATTGGACTCATTCTCCTGCTTACAGCTTCCCAAGGGCTGGGATTACAGGTGCATGCCACCATGCCCAGTCTCAGTCACTTTCTCAGCACACTCCATGGGCAGGAATGGGAAGGCAGGCCCAGAAATGAAATCCACGGCCCCTGCACCAGCTCTCAGGTGCTTTAATCCACTGAGCTATTTGGCTGGCCCTCTTTTATTCTCTAATTACCTTTCAAAAACCTTATTTTAAGGAGAGTATAACAATCTTTGATACAACATTAGAAACACTTCATATTTAGAGATCTACACAACAGGTATTCAAGCACGGCTTTTGTATTATACATTGCTGTCCTCAGTGTAGTTGCTTAGTTCACAGATATCAGCATAGAGAGTTAGTAAAAATAAAATCTACACATAATCCCAAAATTGTTTCACAGATTTAATGCACTCCCTATCAGGTCATCTTTTCTATTATCTTTTCCTTTCTGAGCAATGGAGACCTCCTCAGCTCTATCTATACAACTCAAGGCTTTACTGGAGCTTCCTTTCTGGAAAATCTCACATTTTAGAACATTCTGTATGATTCTTTCCTCATGATACTCAACATAAATCTGGCTACCCCCACCCAAAAAAAAATTAGCCATGCCACAGGCTGAATATTAAATACTTTAAGGACTTGAAATTTCTTTTGCCAGATTAAGCAGTCTTCTAGCCTCAATCTCAGTTTCAAGAAAAGCCTCTGGAGTGAGAAAAATTCAGATGAACTTTCTGCTGAGGCATAACTCAGATGGTCTGGAGCCCAGAAATCTCCCAAACCTGGTCTTTATTGCCAGAATTTCTATCAGAGTTCTGGCCTTCTGAGGTCTGAACAAAATATCCTACACAGAACAACCGAAGTTGTTCCAGATGTACTCTTTCTGGTGACAAGCTCTTCCCACAAGCC